TCTCCAAGGCAGTCAATCACCTTCCAATGGTGCTGTTACTGCGTACTTTGTGTCCGCACCACACAGCTCTGCTAAGAACACAGCTTCAATATAACCACACCATAGACAACAGCAAAATTCACAAAAATTCATGAAGTTGATAGGATGGCTCTTTGGTCTCTCACTGCGATAGAGAGGGCAGGAACAGGAGGCCAGGAAGGACTCAATTTTGCTGGCTTTGCTAGAGGAAGTTTGCCAATACACGTGCCAGTAGACCAACGCTGACAAAACCTTTGAGAGCTGACAAGGCCATAGGTACATATTTCTGTCAAGGACTGTTTACAGTTTATGAAGGTCAGCTCTTCCTCTGGTGTAAATAAACCTCGCTCCAGTGACCGCAGCACAGACCCACCAGTATAAGCCAGTGGAGGAACTGGCTCCTTCCATCCCAAGAGCCACGTTACTGCCACCAGGGCAGCAGCAACAAGTACAGATCCAAACACAGCCAACTGCTCCCCCTTGGCTTTCAGGGTGATTGCCTTTCATATTTATGTTTTCTCCTCCAGGGAAACATCAAGGGCCTGCTGCTGAATTTTTCAGGTGGTACATTAGCATCCGATGGCACCACCGCAGCACCAAGCACCTGCTATGAAGAACTTCTCCAGTTCTGGCAAGGAGCACTGAGGCCCTGGCAAGAAGTTACTCAGGACCTCCCGAGATACTGCTAAGAAGTGGCACCACCTTTATCTTCTGTGCCACGCTCCACAGAGGTTATTGACATAGCAAATACCTTGTAAAAACCATACCCCCATGAAGAAAAAATACTGAAAGCCAACAGAACTAGTTGCATCCTCTTCCCCAGTTTTAAAATGACAATTTGTGACAGAAGACTTGCATTTTGCTGAGCCTGGCAGCTTTTTCCCTCTGCCAAGTCATGTGTGTGCCCCTCTTTCCGAGTGGCATGCCCTTTGCCTCCCATGGTGTTTGAGGGTTAATCTTGCCATCTCCAGATCTTTCTAAGATGCCAGCCAGGCTCATCAGCAGTTTGACTCGGATGTCTTTGGGGGAATCTGGGTTACTCTTTCTGGGAGCGCTGTCCATTTGACAGACAGGAGGCTGTGCTGCTGCAGCCCCATCAGAATCCCCAGCTATGTCTGCTCTTGAAATCTCCAAATTAAACATTTAGAGCTGCAATTAAATCCAGAAGAAAAGAAAAAAAAAGCTGCAAACATGTTTACAGAACTTCATAGCTAATTTATAAACTTCTTCTTTTTTATTCAAGCTCCCGTTTTGTTTAACTACTTTAATTTGTAGAAGGAACACATCTCTGTGCAGGGCGATGGATCAGAATTTGCCCAGGGACAGGTAGTGAAAAATGCAAAAGGCTGAGCTGACATCACCAGGGTAATTTCTGTCATGTATCTAGTTTTAAACAGCTGCTCAGAAAATTAGGAACATTTATTTTTTAAAAGTTTGTCACTGTGTGTGTCTGTCACAAGTGTGCTCTTCCACAAGTATTTATCATTTCTTGCAAGAAGAAATTCAGACTGAAAAGCAAGAGATGGCTATGTATGTACATTGCCTATTCACGTAGATAAACTAGTACAAGCATTTCACTCTCTGCATCCACGTTTAATTTTTTTTCCTTTCTTTTTTGTGCTGGAATACAAGAAATACTTTTCAATACAGGTGGCCAAATAAATCCTCACTAGACACCTTTGCAAACAGATAGGTTCTCAGATGCTAAGAATAAACATCCACATCCACAATAGTTTCACAGCAAATGTTCTACCTCTGCTGGAGTCAGTGAAGTTCAGGGCTGAATAAAATCCAGTGCGAGTTTTGCTGAAAATAAGTGGCTTCAGTTCACTGTGGTTCATGGGAAGTCTGTTTTATTTTATGTGAGCTTGCAACCCTTGAATTTCAAGCCTGAAAAAACCTTAGGCAAAAACTAGCAATCAAATCATGTAGAGCCCGCGCGCAGCCTGTGGTTTGCAACATAGGTTGACATAAAATTTTAGTGTGGGTTTTCCACCAAAAACTAAACTGAGGTTTGACTTCATACAAAAAAAAAGAAAAGCACAAGAATTATCTGTGCTTCGCATGCCTTGGGGTTTCAGAACATAAACCTCCACGTTTGCTGGCACGCATGCACACACACTTTCAAAACAACGTTATTTACAATGCAAACTGCGATTCCAAGAAACATCAGCAGAGTTATCGGGGAATCTGGGATGCACAGCTGTACCACCACCAACTTTAACATCAGGAACAGATTTTCAGCAGGACTAGGATGACAGTGAACACAAACCACTAAAACCAACCTAGGAACATCCCTACAATGGGTTTTGCTGCTGAGTGTTTCAGCCAGGACCAATGGGCCCAGCTCCTCACACGAGCTGCAGCCCATGGCTGGCACCAGCCAGGAACCCTGCAGAGCAAGGAAAGCTTCACCATCCCCTGGCAGGCAGAGCCAGAGAGATGCTGAACTTTTCCCCTTATCCATGCCTGCCTGGACTTCAGAAAGCCGCCCCTGGTGCCCGGCCATTTCACAGCTCGCTGCCTGCTCCCCCCAGAGCCCCGCTGTTCAAATTTCTTTTTCAGGACCCTGCGGATTCAGAGCCTCTCCTGGCAACCCCACAAGCTCAGGCTGACGAGAAAACTTTAAGTATTTTCCCAGCAGCTCTTATCAGGAAACAATGTGTCAAACAAGATGAAACTAGCTCTCCGCTCTTGGAAGATTTACTACAATTCCCCGTGCGCTCACAGAAGCCATGTTAACACTAACCAGCTACACAGCCACGGAGTGTAAAGACGGGCTTCTCTCCCAAGTAAAAAGCCCTCTAAACACCGCCTGCGGGAAGCCCAAGTGGGTTTCTCCATCCTACCGCTCATCCTCTGATAAACACCTCCACAGGGCTCTATGCACCGTGCTCCTGCAGACGCGGAGCTGCTGCCCCAGGAGCAGGCCCGCAGCCGGGGCCTACCCAGGAGCAGCCGCCCCATAGCGCTGCCGCCGCCCTCCCCAGGGCCCAGCACCCATCCAAAAGAGCCAAGACCGGGCACCAGAGTGCTTCCAGCTCCACCTGTGGCTGCCACGTCTGAGGGGAGGACGATGGACGAGTTTCCAGGGGGCCTGAAGGGAGGCAAATGGAAAAGTGATGTAGGCACTCACCTGGCACTGCCTCTGTTACACTATTTATGACCCTGTGTGAAGCACGGACGCGAGTGATTGTTGTCTCCTTTAAAAATAAATGCCCGCTGCTAAATAAATAAAATAATTGCAAATTTTTCTCTGTTCTATGAGATGTCTCCAGCTTCTTTTTTTTTTTTTTTTCTTTTTTTAAATCACATTTTTAGCTGTAAAGCACAAGGGAAAATGAAGATTAGGGGTTAACTGAAGGCTGATAAAGAAACAAAGCAGAAACTCCTAATCTTGTGTATATCTTGGTTTCAAATCCTTCTGAGATTTGTTTGAGCACTGGGGTCTTTCTGAATCCAAAATCCCTTGTTTACACCAGCCAGAACAACACTAAATCATGGTCACCCTCATTATGCCATTCAATAGGGCCTAGAACACAGAACCGGGACAGTTTAGGATCCCGAGTCTCCAGAGCAAATTAACTAATGCTATAAATTAAGAACTCCACTCATGCCAGCAGCTACATCTTCCAAAGCAAGCAGCAAACACAGCCCCTAAATACTTCGTTAAATGCTTGTCTGTACTAGACCGGGGTTGAAGGAATTATGGGTTGATAACACTGGAATTTATTAGGAACTGGATGGTTTCTGGCCTTGTTAGGAAGCCAGAAACATGGAAGCAGAACAGGCTGGGGGCATCGGCCATGGGTGGAAAAGCAGCAACGTGGAACCCACCAAACTGAAACACTCCCATACAGTTCCCCACAGTAAAAAAACATCAAGCTGTCACGCATGGCACCATCACAGTCCTTAGAGCATGCAGGCAGGGTAAAATAACATCGGTGTCTATGAGAAGATGTCCCGGATTTTTGAGCCTAAGGAAGTGGGGGCAGAATTGGACCCAAGGTGCTGCCTGCAAATTCCTGCTCTCCCCCCATAACACTGGCACCTGCCCCCGCAGCGTCAGCCTTCTTCCCAGCACATCTGATGGGTTCCTCCACAGTTCGCAAAACAACACCTGCTGAAACTTCAGCTATTAGTGCAGGTAATGAAGCCACTGCATGGAGAGCATTCACATTCTCCACCTTATCAGAGCAAATTACTTTGCTGTTCAGGATAGGTGTTACCAAGCATCTGCGTGGATGTCAAATACTTGAGTTAGGAAGTACACCTGTAACTGGACTGGGCTTAATTGAATCTTTGTGCTAGCTAGACATTTCCAAGGCTTCCGTTGTGTCATATAAACATATCTGAGTGGACCTCTATTAGTGTAAGTTTTCTTTAGGAAAAACTCTCTGTTGTCATTACTTGGGCTATTCAGCTAAATATAACAGCCACTGGCAGTGCAAGACTAGCCTCCTGCAGCTAGTGGAACCTGTAAAGTACCTGGAGAAGGCGTAACAAGACAAAAAGATGCATAGTGAACATCCCTTTTTGCCCTGCTTATATATGCCTCACTTCTGCTTCAGGCAGTACTGCCCAAAGCACAGTGCAGCACAGCCTGACCCAGTCAGGTCAAGAAGCCAATTCAGTTACTGGAAATGTCGCAGCACTCCACAAGAGCTAATTTTATTGACAAAGAGCTAAATTAGTGCAGGTGTGCTGTGCTGCAGAGGCTTCCAGCACTGTATTAAAGCCAGTCTGGGTATAACTGCCAATGGCCCCTGGTTTAGCTTGCTTGGATCCTGCTGGAAGCAAAACTGAGTATCAAGACCAAATCAACACCAGCAGCTGCCAGCTGCTGGGGTCCCATGCTTTCTCCTAAATTCCCAGTACAGAACTTCATGTTTTTTTCCTCCTCACTGCCCTTCTTCAGGGGGGATGCTACTTCATACAGCAACAAACCGCAGCCCCATGACTGCCTGCAGAGAACTTCTTACCTTGGAGCAGTCTCTAGATGCCAGAGTCTTCAAATGTCTTGAGCCGCTGATCTGTTATTGCTAGATGCTTCCCAGAGCACTGATGGCAAAGGTACCCAACTGTCACAACTTCTCAAAATTTTTTTTAAACTAGATGTCTCATAATCAATAGGCAAGGACCCGGCACCCTTCCCTAAGCTATGGGACAGACAGCATCTGGCTCCCATTCTGCACTAGGCTGGGAGGAGATGCTAAGCCCAGCCCCCGTGCAGCAGGTGAATGCACTAAGCAATCTGTTACCAGCTCTATCCTTGCTTGGCCCAACCTGTTTCACACACACAGGTGTAGACCTCACAGATTGGGACTGACAAATGAGCAGAAATAATCTATTGTTTCATTCCTAAGTGGCATCAACCTTTTGACTTCACCAGATTTTAAGATCATAAAAAATCATTACAACCCTCTAGGCAGGTTCCTTGCCGGAGCACTGCTTGGTTGTACTTCCAAAACACAAAGAGCTGTTGCAGTAGGTGTCTCAGAGGGGCTCTATTCAATTTCCAGGTTAGCTACAGACTTTTTACATGATCATGGGTGAATCCTATTCAATCTCTTTGCCTCAGTTCCTTATTCTTTCCACAGGAGATCCTGTGAGGGTAAATTCACTGCTGCCTGCAAAGCCTGGATGGGGTGCGATTGGGGTACTTCAAGAAGGTCACTCAAATCATGATCATACTCTGCCTCAAAAAAAAAAAAAAAAGTAAGACAATGGTGACGCAAGTAAAGCCTCAACAAGGCAGCACCGTGTGAGCCCTGTGTATAATAAAACAACATAACTCTCAGAATGTCTACCCATCTCTGCAGATGACAGATTTTCGGATTTAGAAGAGTCATATATCAAAAATAAGATCCCTCCTCTAAAGTCCAACCTTGCAGGGCTGAGAAAATACAGCTCTGCTGGGGATTTTGCAAGGGCCAAGAAGTTAGAAAATTACTTCATTTTGTGATGGCTTTGTTTGGGACACCTAATCTCTGAAAATTGCATAAAACTGCATTAAACACGCTTTGCACACTGTACTGAATATCCATCAAATGATAACAGCTGTCATCATACTGCCCTGGTCTGAATTTGAACCTCAAAACGCTCGGTGAAATAGTGTTTTATCAGAGATATATCTACAGAATACTCCAGACAGAGAAGCTATCAATGTGTAATCATGGTCTGTAAAACAGCTGATGACTTCAGTATGCTTTTGCTACTCTTTAAATAATCCCCAATTCCTCTCAGGAGTATTAAAATCTGTCCTTTGGAAAATAAAGCAAGATACAGTATTAATAAAAAGTTTGAGTGCTGTGCTCAGTTCAGTTGCATTTCTATTGACCGTCACGCACTCAAAAAACATTAGAGAAGGTTGGTCCTCCAGAGACCCTGCCGCGATGGCAAAAGAAAGCCTGGGCAATTATGTAAAGGCACCGCGCTCCTGTTTTATTTAGCAGAGAGGGTTTTTTTTTCTTCTTCTTACAGCCCTTTTGTGCTCCCAGATGTTTTAATTACTGAGGAAAGGGAGCGGATGATTCTGGCCATATGTCTCCATTCCGCATAAATAAATATTGTCGCCAGCCCAGTTAAGTTTCGCAGAGCTGTCGATGATCCCGCTGACACTAAAGCTGTCGGGCCCGATAAGCATCTTCAATCCTTCAGTGAGCATGCTAATTCCAGAAACACTGAGACTGATATCCCATGAAAATATTCAATCTAGAAACAATTAGGCTCACATTGCTGCAAAATGGTACCTCTAGGAATTTGGGCGCTCGCTTGATTGGAGCCACGAGTCCAAGCTTTAAGCGGAGCCACCGCCGGGAATGAGCAAGGAGGAGAGAGCAGGTGAAACGGCCTCCTCGGAGCTGCAATCTCCGTGCCACGTGTTGAAGCTGCTCTGGGCCACGTTTTCCATTCTCTTGCCCATCCGCACAATCCTGGGGGACAGCAATGTAAGAAAGGGATTTCACTCTGTGTTGCAACTTTTTTGATTAATGCATGCAACATCAACTGTTTTATTGCAGTACATTTGGAAATAAACAATGGTCAGGCTTTGTTTGTGCTAGACAGCAGGAAAACACAGTTGCAAACCTTCCCTTAGCAGCTTTCAGCCTAAACAAACAGTCTAATATATCCTTTAGAAAAGGATGTGTAACCACAGTGACTGTGGGGGGCTGAAAACAAGTTGTGAAAGCTGTTAAGCAGAAGGGAGCAATTTAAGAGTGAAGAAATTAGCTAAATTAACTGACAGTGAAGAGGGAGGGAGGCAGGACGGGACAGCCAGTGTCAATGCAAGACTGTGGCTTTACTGCTACATTCACCAGCACCAAAACTCCCCAGCAAACCTGAAGCTGCAACCTGGGAGCCAGGAGTGGAGGGGCCTCGAGAAGCTACTTCAAAAAGCTGAGGCTACAGGACAACAAATTAAGGTATCAGCAATGTGAGACTCCACATACAATCCTAATTTCCACAGTCGAGCAAATAGGTCAAAATCTCAGCTCCCCAGCAGGCCTCCAGCCCCTTGCAGTTGCCTATTTTATAAACTGCCCAGTTGCAGGCAATGCTTTTTGCTTATTGCCTCCTGATTTCACTCGGTGTTTGCTGATTCAAAGGGGCCTCCTGATTCTCATTGACAGTACAGAACCAAAAGCTCTATCTGATGCCACTTGCAAATAACACCAGAGGACTAAAACATGAATGTAGAAATTAAGAAAAAACGAACAAAGAGAAGGGAAAATGATGCAGCTCATCCACTCAACAATCCTGTATTTGTTCTCTAGGTCATGACATTAAAGAAGAAATGGCTTTAGAGAGTACATGTGCTTACATATGGTACACACTTCAGGAGCTGCACTGTCCAAAAAACAGACTTTATGGACAGAAGATAGGAAACATTCATTTGTTCTTTTATGTGAACCTTTTTCCACCAACTCTTAATTTCATTGCCAAGTCCTTCCAAGATGACACAGCAGTAAAGCAATCTGAGATACTAGCACAAACCAGACCGTGCACAATTTGATGGAGCAAGCCAGGCTATCCAGCATCGCCTCTCGTTAGCAGAATACAGGAGGTTGTTCTCATAGCCAATTACATGTCAATATAAATATCTGAGGATAAACCCAGACACAAGAGGTCCTTGTTGAAGATGTAAAGTCTGAAAGCGCTTAAAATATTTAAATCCTTGGTGAAGTTTGCTTGCAAAGCAACATTCTCATAGATCCCACAAACTGAACCACAGCTGAGAGACACAGACAAAATCTGAGTGCTACCCTTAGACAGGAGAGGAAGCATTCTCTGCAGCTTAAAGCCTATTCCCACCTATGATTAAAACCATAAAGTAACAAAGAAATTCACAGTTAGGGGCAGCAGTTAATCAAATCTGTTTGAAAAGCGATGGTCTTAGGAACAATTGGATAAAATGTGAAATCTGGACACAACGGAACTTTTAGCTTCTTGCAGTGTCACTACCAGTGTGTGCACATAAAAATAAAATGAGAAAGGAAAAATGGTTTTATGAATAATGCCCAATGGTGAATGTCAAATGACTGAGAGTGAACTTAGGAGCAGCATCAGAAATAAATGAATAAAATCCTACCTTTGCCATTAAGTGGTAAATACAAAGAAAACATTAAAGTCACTTGTGATCTTGTCTCTAGACTATGCAGCACTACTCTAAAAATACGAAAGTGTTCAGATAACTGCTAAATGAATCAAATAGAATATTTTGCTTACGTTTAAAACAACAACATTTAAATTTTATTTTTCAGTTGATGATATTGTGAATGGGAGCAAAATGAGCAGCACTGAAACACTGCAAAGGAAGCTGCTCCTGAGACATTTCTAACACAACCAGAATAGAAAACTCCAGCTGAGATTTCCAGTTCATTTTTGCCAAAAGAATACACTGAGATAAGCATTTAATTTTTATTTTTTTTTAAAGGCTTATCCAAAAAATAGCATATGGAAAGAGAATTATTTTCTGCTGAGCTAAAGCGCAGGATGAAAAGTCTGGAGATCTGAATTTTTTATCTTAGTGACAGTAACATTGTATCAAAAGTAAATCTACTGACATTAATAGCTACAGAAGATTTAAGATTAGCTTAAGCAAGGTCAGAATCAGCATGTAGATTCTGGGCCCAGCATTACTACAGACTCCCATTGTGATCTTGGGCAAAATCCATGTAGTGATGGAGCGATTCCATGGAGTGATTTTAGGAGCCTTGAATTTTAGATGACTACATTAAGCAATCTCAAAGCAAACAACCACAAAAATGTACTTTAAGTGCTCTGAAAATCCCGAGCTTAGCTTTTCTATGATTTAGCTCTCCCACCTTTTAAAAAATTATCATCGTTACAAAGATGGCCGTTTACATAACAGTGGCATTCTTTAATTCTTTACTAAAAGCAAATTGCTTCAGGATTCTCGGGAGGCACTGAAGAAGCTTAAAATTATATTTAATTTATCGGTACTTCTTCAGATGTATCAATTATCATTCACGTGGGCCAGAAAGATAGAAGAGGAACACTTCTCTCCAAGAAAAAGCAAGCACAACATAAGAAAAGTAAGTCACGTTCTTTTCCTATCTTGTTGAGTGTTTAGCAAGTCATGGCAAACTCCCCACACCTCAACTATGACGCTTAGAATGCAGTTTTACTCATTCGTAAAGCAAATATATAAATGTATATATGTATATGGTACATTTCTTGCTCTAAATTGCTGATACAGATTTGTCACACTCAGATTATGTGAGCCACTATATTATTTTATACCTGCACAAGACATATAAATTTATATTTTAAAGCAGGTCATTACTATGACTAATTTCTAAAACTCTTGTTTTTTTGTTTTGTTTTTTCAAATTGTGATTTAAAAAAAGTCCAAACTTCAGTGTGTCATTAGCAAAAAACTTGCTAGCACTCGACATCTCTTGAAGCTGTGAATGCTGAATTCCCAGCCTCAAAAAACCTCCTTGCAATTCAGATGTCACAACTCACAAGAGAATATTCCTAGAAGGCTCCTGGCAAGACTGAGTCAAAAGATATTGAGAACGGCAGTTGGGAGCCAGTGAAAGGAACTCTGGTTGTGAGAACAGGCGTACTACAGGTGAAGCATATCGGTGCTTCCAAAACCCAGGCTTAGTGGACCCATGCTGAGTCCATGGGACCAAGAAAGGTAAGGGCCAGACACAGTTTTCCCATCTGAAGCTCAACTCCAAAAGGCTGGAATTTCTCTAGCTTTGCACAAAAGTGCAATGAGCCATGGGACTGATATAAATACATTTCAAATACCTTCAGTCATTAACACTTGTGTGTGTGTGTCCTGGAGCGTGTGAGGATGTTGTCATCATAAGAAACAGCACTTACCCCGTCCTACTATGATGCTTCCATAACGCCTCCTGATGCTCTACCAGCAACGTGTACTTCACCTTCACATACTGCCTAGGCTCAGAATTTGTGTATCTTCTAGTCTAGAAGGATATGAAACTGTCTCAAAGCTGCCATCAAAAATTATGTCAGTAACTATCATCCTATGGGATGCAGGAGTGAATGATTGCTCCCACAGAGGGGTTTCTAATCCAACAACAATGGCAGTCAAAGATCATAACCGACGTAGCTACTGTCTTATCACCAGACCACTATCTCTGGGCCCAGCTTAATATCTCAAGAGATGTTGCATGCAACCTAACCCCAAAATACTTTAAAAAGTATCAGAGGGGTGACACCAGGGTGGGGAGTGAAGATTTTTCATATGAATTATGGAAACAGTACAAGCAAAATCCGTTAATAGTACGATAAGAAAGATACGATGGACTCTGAGGGCAATATTCTTTCTTTCTCAGCAGTGTATCTTTTTTTTTTTTTTTTTTGAAACTTCTTTCCTTCAGCAAGATTTTATACCATAAATTGAACTGCATCTCACGGGAGTATCAAGCATAAAACAAACAAAGTAACTGTGCTTTTGATGAGCAAACGACTTCAAAGAGCACTAGCATGTTTATCTTGAACATAGGGTTCCCACCAGAGCACAGATGAACGAAGTTCAGTTTCCAACAGGACATCTCTCTGCCAGAGCTCAGCCACAAGCATTTAAGAGTGGGGGGGGAAGTTTATCATCAACCTAATTTTAGAGTCATCGTTTTTTCTGTGTTGCAAGTACGTTTCAGGATGCCACTGGGAGCAGAGTGGATATGGTTCTCTCTTAACCAAACAATAACTGCCTCCAGGAGGAAGTCTCACAGGAAACAGCACCAAGAGTTTGCAGTGTCTGTGCCCTAACACCTGCCAGTCCTCGTGGGCCCTGCTTTGCATAGAGCTACGCAACATGCCTCAGGTGTAGGTCTACACCCAAAATGAAACTTCAGGCATTAGCTTCAAAACCAAAGCTCACTAGTATGTTTGACTAAATGATGTTCTGTATTTCCATAAGCTTAAAATCTTGATTTCAACAACAGTAACTGAAATCTCAATAGAACACAGCAAAATGTTACTCAAATGTTTCCAGAAAAAGGAAATGTGAATTGTGAATTCAGAAAACACTGTCTATCTAAGCAAAATACTGTCCTAGCCCTGTTCTATAACCTATCTTTTCTGAGGTACCAAAAACTTTCTGGAAGTTCATACAGAAGAAAGTCATGAAATTACCTTCATATCTGTGAGTCCACAGTCGAATCGCCCTACTCATATTGTCAGCTATTTCTTTGCACAAAGAGGTAGAAGTAAGAGTAGAGATAGTTCTCATCCTATGGTTCTAGAACAAGGATGTAGATGTGCAATGCTACTCTACTAGTACAATGCAGGGAAAGGTAGTAAGAGGTTAGTGTATAACATCAGGGACAGGATCTTCTCACAGGGCCACAAAACAATTCTCTGAAGAGGTAGACGTAGTTATCTTACAACTCTTGTAGGAAAGAATTCATGAGGAAGCTAAGGTTTTGTA